GGAGAAAGAGACGGAGTTGGAGGTAGCGTGGAGGGGTAGGGGGAGGAGCAGCAGGAGGAGGAGGAGGAGGAGGAGGAGGAGGACCAGTGTAAACCCAAGAGTCGTCAACGATGTTGGAATAAACCCTCCCTCCAAGCTCCCTCTTCATAGGCCCCTACAAGGGTTCATTTTCACTGAGGGAACTGCCTCGTTTGAAGACAACCGTTTGAAGACCCTGAAGCATGCCAAAGCAGTGTTCTCGGGATTCCAACGCCTCGGATAAATTTGACTGTTTCGTCTTGACGATCCTGAATCGTGCCAGAACGCCAGTCCTGGAACTTCAACACAGCGAATCAAGATAATTGTTGCAATGCCATAATCCGTCCGAAACACCATGTCTGATGCGCTGACCATGGGAATCCGGTTTGGGAGGTGGGGGGCCTATTGGGAGCCTCTTTTGGGCCTCTTGGGGAGAGTGGCCGAGAAAGTATGACAATACTCCAGACAGAGAGGCTTCTAAAGACCTGAGGACACCACTTCGTGCTTCGGGGCACCGTGCTTGAGTTTTTGAAATACACAACTCTGTAAGTGTACAGTCGGGGCGCTGAAGAAGGAACCCTTTTCGTTGGGGAGGGGCTCCGCGTTCCTTGATTGTTTCACAGCTTGCCTTAGGTTTTCCTTAGGTTTTCGATGGGAAATCGAAGTTTTCCTTGTGGAAAAATGGGGCCTCGTTCCTTATTTAGGGTTCCTTAGGTCAACGCCCCGACTGTATGCGCCGGTTCCGTGTATATATGTAAGCCATGGGCGCACACATTTCACAACGCAATCGGTAAATTGGGACGCGGAGGGTAAGAACACCTACCCTGACGGCGAGCGGCTCGTAGATTGTCCGACGTTCTCATCCTTCCGGTCCTCTTACGTACCCTCCTCCTGCTCCGCCCTCCTCCAGGGCAAGGGGGGGCTGTCCCGATGGCGAGCGGCCCAGAGGCTGCCTGACTGCCTCCTCCATGTCCTCCTGCTCCTTCTCTGCCGCCCCTCCCCCCCAGGGCAAGAAGAGCTATCCCGATGACGAGCGGCTCATAGGCTACCTGAGGGCCATCTCGGCAAAGAACGTCGTCCAGTCGACAGAGAAGGACGGCGATGCCAGGCAGGGGGGGAGGGCCCAGGAGGAGGAGGAGGAGGAGGAGGCGGAGGAGGAGTAGGAGGGGGAGGAGGACGAGGAGGAGGACTGGGAGGGGGAGGAGGACGAGGAGGAGGAGGAGGAGGAGGAGGAAGAGGAGGAGGGCATCGAGGTGGAGAAGGAGGAGGAGGATGATCATGGGTGGGGGGCTTGGTTTGCACGCGTGTTTCCGGCCTTCAGGCTGAGGCTTCGCTACGACCTGTCCAAGCTGAAGCATGAGATCCCGTGTTCTTTCGCGGGACAATGCTTTCGAAGAAGAGAAAACGCCATGAACATAAATGTTTGGCGCTCCCCGCGGATTTCTTGGATCCGCGCTGGGCCCCCCCCCTGCGGCGCCTCCAGCGCCGCCCCTGGCGCGCTCCGCGCGCCAGGGAGGGGGGTCCAGCGCAGATCCAAGAAATCCGCGGGGAGCTCCACAAGTCTATGCTTATGGCGTTTTCTCTTTTGCTGTGCCTGGCAGAGCTGCGAGCAACTGCCGCCAGCGCAGGCGCGGAGCTCGTGGAGCTCCTTGTGATCCGAGATGCCCACAGCGCGGCGTGGGCACGCCCTCCCTGGGCGCGGAGGGCGAGCGGGGGGGCCCGTCGGAGCCGTGCTCCTCTCGCTTCGTGGGCTCGGCTGGAGCACGGGAGGCCGGCTCACGATGGCAGACGACCGAGACGTGGAGATCCTTTCCCTCCTCCTCCTCCACCTTTCATCCGCCTCCTCCTACGCAATACTAATCCTACTCTTCCCCTCCGCATACCGTGCTTCAATCCTTCCTCCTCCTCTTATCCTCAATCCTCGGCTACTCCTCCGCTCATCCTCAAGCCGGTGAATCCTGGCCTCCTTCTCCTCCTCCTCCTCCTCCTCCTCCTCGTCCTCCTAGCCCCTCCCCCCCTCCCCCTCCCCCTCCTCCTGCTAGGCTGGCAGCAGGTGCCACGATGGGGCCCGCCTCTGTGTTTCGACCTGGTCGATGCGGCTTTGGCATCTTCCAAGTTTCGACGAGAAGAACAGGGAGCGATCCGAGCCCTGACGTGCCAGGTGGTCCGGCCTCTCAGTAGAGCAGCTGCTGTGGACCACCAGGCTGAAGACACGTGCTCGTTGTGCGGGCAAGTAGGAGACACGATTTTACACGGGCTGTGGTTGTGCCCTGAGTGCGAGGACGAGCGAGTTGACATCGTAGGCGAGAGGCTTCTGTCGAGGATCCGCGAGGAGCTTTCCGCCGACCCCAGCCCTGGGTTTACACTCGTGCGCGAGTCGGGTCTTCTTCCGCACCCGTCCCTTTGGGCCCTTGGGCCGATGAGACAGTGTTTGTTTTCAGGTGTCTCCTGAGGCTTTCCAGGCCGAAGGTCTTGAAGTTCCCTCCGAGGGGGTGGGGGAGCTTCAAGGGGATGCTTACTCGGACGGCTCGTGCATGCGTTCCTCGATCAAGGACCCGTCGCGCTCTGGTTGGGGAGTGGTTACTCTCGGTCCTTCGGGTCAGATTCTTGCTCGGATGCATGGTGCGCTCGACAGTTTTTACCCGCAGGCGAGTGTCGCTCCGGAGTGCGCTGCGCCTGCCAGTGCTGCCAGCCTGCTGTCAGGCCCTTCGGTTCTGTTCAGTGACTGCACGGTGGCTGTTAAAGAGTGCAGTAAGAGCCTGGCGGATCAACTTTCACCGTCGAGTCCCTGCAGCGGGCTAGCCATGCAGAGCCACGCTTTCGCGAGCACGGGTGTCAGCTCGGCGGGCAAGGTCGAGGCTCACGGGGCTGATGACCCAGACTGGCCAGGCGCCGAGCGCAGACGTGCCATCGGCAGCAGTGCTGCCGACGAGGCGGCTACAGAAGGAGCTAAGCTGCATGCTGATATAGAAGAAGTTGACCGCACGAATTCGAATTCCGCGATTCGGACGGCAGCGGCTGCCTGCAAACTAGCTGCTAAGATTTTGGATCGCCGGCCGAGAACGAGCCTCGAGGGTGTCGAGCGTATCGCCTGTGATGCTCGTTCTCCCGAGCCTGCTGCTCCTTCCCACGAGTGGACACGGGTCGGGCGCTCTTGGCAATGCCCCAAACTGTTTGCGCGGTTCGCGGAGCCAGCAGAAGCTTGGCCCAGGAGCGTGCACGCGCCAGCTCAGAATAGATCCCGTTGGATTGCGGGCTCTCGGTCACCGCTTTCTCGCTGTGGATTGCGACTATCAGAGTTTTGCTTGTGTGTGTGTGTGTGTCGGAATTGCCACGCGTTTTCTACAGGAGGTCAGATGCGAGGCTCTCAAAGAAGTGCCTAGACAGGCCGCCTGGACGCCGCGAAGTTTGAACGAGATTGGGCAAGGGACTCCATCCTGACCGTGACACGAAGGGGGTCAAAGCCGACCTCGAAATTGTTTGCCCAATTTAGGGGGGGGGGTAAATGGGCGTGGAGGGCCGTGGATGTCAAAACGAATCCGAAAGATCGAAGTAAGAAGGAAGGGAGAAGAACAATGAGGGGAAGGCAGGCAGAAAAGGAAAGCGAATAAATACAGGAAGAGAAGAAGAATAGTGAAGCTCGGAAGAAAGACATAAGAACAAAAGAAAGACCTCATCAATCACGCCTTACCGCAACCGACCCACTCCTCAAACTCCCTACGCCATAATACATAAATACTGCCCGAACCTATCTGATCTCTTTCCTAGGCCTACCCATATCATTCCGCCGCGTAAATCCGACGACTAATCCAGCCGCATACACTCTCCGCCTTAATTTTCCTCCCACTCGTCTATTCACGACAATCTGCATCAATACTCCTCATTCTCCTCCTCCCTACTCCTGTCATCATCCTCTGCCTCTCACACACCTTTATCATCCTCCTCTCCTTACATCATCCTCCTCCTCCTCCTCCTCCTCCTCCTCCTCCTCCTCCTCTTCCTCTTCCTCCTGTGCTACCACAGCCACCTCCGGCTTTGGGTTTTGGGACTCGCCCCGGACGGCGCCCACAGCCGACAAAGCAAGAGATTCGGACGTGGCCATGCCCGCGTGGATGCAGCGGACGGCGGCGCCGGGGGGCCCGGAATCGGCGTCCAAGCACGCCCGGAGCTTCCGCGCTCGGGGCGGGGACACGAAGGGCGACCAGTGGGTCGGGGCGCTGTTGGCGGTCCTGGCAAAGCTGGCCCTGTTGGGGGCCCGCCTGCTCGCGGTGCCGGAGGGCGCCACCTGCGGGGCCTGCTTCGCGCAGGGAGGCGGACGGCGCGGGTGGGGCGGCGCGCAGGGCCGCCCGGCCCAGCAGGCGACCTCGAGTCGCAGAGGCCGAAAGAGTGCGCCATAGGCTTAAGTCGGGCTTGTCCCTCTACAGGGGGAATACTCGAAAATAGTCAAACACTAGTCTGGGGACGATGTTTTGATGATTCATTTTGAGCATTTGGGGTATGTTTGACTATGTTTTATTTTTCGTCGGGAATCGGCCTGTAGGGGGACACGCCCGACCTAACCATAGGCTACAAGGCTCGCGGGACCCCACACGTGCAGGTCTACGCCTCGGTGATCCAGCGCGCGTTGGGCAGGATCGGCCCAGACGGCCCCCACGAGGGCGAGAGAGGGAGTGCTGGGAGACGGTGGTGCTGGGGCGGCCTCTTCAGGCAACCGCGAGGGCCGTGCTCCACTGCAGGTGCAGGAGAGCGGGGGAGGACCCGACCCGGGGCGTCTTGAGCCTGGCCATCCGCCTGAAGGAGGAGCTGGCTGTGGACATGTGGATGGTGGTCATGAAGCACCACGTGGAGCAGGACGGCCTGAAGAGGACGACGGTGCCCGCCCCGCGAGGGCCATTGGCGAGAGAGAGGTTTCCCGCATCATCGGCGAGACCACGGCGGCGAAGGGCGCGGGCAGGGTCGCGTGAGCTGGCGCCACACCAGCT